AATCTGGTTCTTCTGGCTCCTCCTAGTTCTCCTAATGGCATTTGCAAGAATCCACCGGGCCTGAATGAAAACAACCAATCAGAGCCAGAAAGATATGATCACTCTTTGGGTTGGCAGCTTGAAGATCAATCACCTATCTTTCCTGGAGCACTAGGAGGAGCCAGAGGAACCTTTTCACAGAGTATCTGTCTCACATACTACTGTCATGGTATAGTGAAAATTTCAGCAATAATGACTAAAAGTTATTTTCATACAATTTACCTGTAAAACAAGATATGGCCTAATAATATAAAACACATCCATCTACTTTTGCAGTGGTGCCATCAGTTGGTGAAATACAAGATTGAACTATAAATGAGTTCAGCAGGATTACCAACCAGGAAGGCCCCAACAACCTTTTCTACATTTTCTAACATGTAATATTTAACTGATCAAATTACTTTACTCCCTCTGGAGACACTAAAGGTTTTCTACAACTTCATCCACATGTGGAGTAGTACACCTTGATGTGTAATTGGTGGAGTTCCCCTTTAAACAAAATATAAGTCTGCCATGTGCTTGACAGGCAACAGGATCCATAATGACAATGCAGGGAGAATGGGAGGAAGGGGGTAACCCACAGACATCTAAAAACAATATGCCTGCTGGACATACTCTGTGATCCACAGGTGTGCGGTACATCAACTGTAGAGCACAGATAAAAGATGAGCACCTTTCAGTTCTTTCAACCTTGGAGTGTCTTTCTCCAGATCAGCATCCTGTTCCTGCATAGACATGCACATCCTTTTATGAGTGAACCAGTGGAGCTTTTGGCATGTCAAGCTGCAGTAAGTCACCTTAAAGATAAATAAAAGAGAACATGACCTGGAGGTAGTTCAACGTGAAGATTTGATGACATGATTGAACCATATTACAGAAGGTGGCTGTTAACAGACTTTGACCTACTGCTTTACAGAGGGAGCACCTCTTGTCTGCTCCCTTCTCCCCACATGTAGCACAGTAGTCAGCATCTACAAACGCCATCTGACCAGTCAGGGCCTGGGTCAACACAGAGAACGCTGTTGGGTCGTTGCCCTGAAAACGAGATGCAACAGTGTGTTAAGGTCATATCAACAGCAGTGATTAAAAACCTATAACATCCTCTATAATCAGCTACTACTACTACCAACTGTTGTAATATCCTCTTTAAAAACAAAGGCCAAAATTATATTTTATATACTAAACTTCAATTCTCTGCTTCACTTACAATCTCTACTGGTGCAATGCTCCTCACCAGCTGCTGAAGCAGTGTGGCCTCACAATAAGGAAACTTCCTGATGCAGTCACGAATGAACTTCTCCTGGTACTGTGGGAAGCCATCACTGTCTCTGCCCTTCAACAGGCTGGGCCCCAGCATCGTCACGACAGGTCACGGACAACAGAAAAAACACAACATTTATTATGAATATTATTCATAAAAGCCCAAGATGGTAACCCTATCATAACAGGAAAGACAGGATGAGCCTTGATTTTAAAAATAAAAGCCCATAACGGCCACTGCATGTTAACAAGATACTCAGGATGAGGCTATTTTTTTCCAAAATAAAATTCCCTAAATATTAATAGTATCTTAACAAGAAAAAGACTGGATTGCTTTATATTTGATAGTTATGGCTGCAGAGTGACAGGAAAGGGCAGAGAGAGGGGATGACAAACAGCAAAGGGCCACAGGTCAGAGTCGAACCGATGGCTGCTGCAGCAAGGACTCCGCCATGGTACATTCTTACATGGGACGCCATTTCTACCAGGTCAGCTTGATGTGTAAAATTGCTGGAGCGCCCCAATAGAATCAAGCCTACAGACTTTGTTGTCAGTACACAGCATTTGTATAGATGGAAATTAGTGAGCACCTGCACTGGGTTGGACCAGCTATGTGTAAGTTCTTTCCTCAGATAAGGTGTAAAGTCGACACTAGTTACTCTACCACGATTACTACCATCATCATGGTTACCATGCGCATTAGCGTTCTGGCATGCATGAGATACTTGGCATTGTAGCACATCATAGTAGGTTTGATATTGAAATATATCAATAAATTAGGTCTCTACTCGATTACTGTGTAACAAAATGGCTACAATTAATGAAAAAATTATGTTGTGAGGCAGCTGCTGTTTTACCATCAGTGAGTCTAATTCTGTGACATTTTATGATTTACACTACCATAGGGGCATGTGTAACAATTTAGTTGTTACTTAGTACTTAGTTAAGTTGTAACCTATCTCAGTGGCACAACTACTTTGTACAGCTGGTGGAACAGGCTGAACGGGAAAAACTTGGGGTTCAGTGTCATGCTCAAGGACACTTTGAGACATGGAAAGGGGTAGCTGAGGAACATAAATAGGTCTATATTTTCCCTATATTTATAAATATTTGGATGAGACACAATGCTATAATTCTAACTCTACAATCCCTAATAACCAACTATAAAATGAGTGCTGGGAGTGATCAGTGATGAGACTTATTCCTCTCAGAAGCCTCACCTCTTGACAAGTGCGTCCAGCTTGTCGTCTCGTTTTTGTAGGAAGGCCAAGCATTTCTGCAGCACACAGCTGATGTAGTGCATCTTCATGGCCAGAACCTCGTTCATGTCTTGTTGCTTCACACATTGCTCACACAGCAAGTCCATCACCTGGTAACACTTCTCCAGGGCCGCCACATCCACCATCACAGGGTTCTCCTTCACCAGCATGACTATCTGACAGATGGGAGAGTTGGTTAGACAAACACTTTTGGGCAGAGCTGTTCTGAGGTCAGATATACTGCAATTGATTGAGACAGAGAGGAGAGAGTATGTACGTATGTATGTAAGTAAGTTATTCCATATCACACTTTGTTATTTATAGCTTAAGTGCTGTTAACACTGCATTGCTCACACTGAGGCCGACAGTGAAACAAACCAGACACTAATCCGTCGCCATTTGGAAAATAGCCCAGTAGATGTCAAATAAAAGATTGCCAAGAGCCTCATCAGTTTCCTCTGTCAGTGCTTTTTTTTGTGTAATGGGTGTGGCTGTGGCTCAGGAGTAGAACAGGACCTCTACTAATCAGAAGGGTGGCAGTTTGATCCCTGGCTCCTCTTGCTGCATGTTCAAGTGTCCTTGAGCAAGATACTGAACCCTAATTCCTCCCAGCGCTGTGCCATTGGCGTATGAATGCTCTGTTGCCAAGTGCTTGCTCATGGTGGGAACTGTTGGGTCTCTGTAAATAACTGTACGTATGGTGTAGATCTGCTCTATTTGAAAAGTGTCCTGAGATAACTTTTGTTATGAACTGCCAGTATATATATAAAATGGAATAGAATTGAATTGAATTATAGTTCCATGGTGTACAGTACAGTCAGAACAGAATAAAAATAAAATTGTAAATATATTTCTAAAATCACATGCTTGTGAACCTGTGAGTAGGTGGGCATGTTTCAGCTCAGTGGCAGGCCTCACCTTGACCGGGTTAAGGTTGGTGGTCATGATGATCTTGTGCAGGGGTCCTGCTAGCCTGGGTGGCAACCTGGGCTCCCTCTCCAGCCCCTGTGGTCTGGTGTAGTACTCAAGCCTCGCCCGTGAGAAGAAGTTATTGATCACTGTTACACAGTCATGCTGACCTGGAGGGAGTAGGCACAGGTTGAGATGTAAGCCCTCTCACAGTCACCAGTTAACTTGTACTACAGTCTTACTGCCTGTCTCACCTACAAACGCTGCCATCTGAGCAGCAGTGCGACCTACAGAGTTAACCAGATCTGTCTCTGCTCCTGCGTCCAGCATCATGGAAGTGATGTCTGTCTTTCCTGGAGGAGGAGGTTTGATATTTAGAGATAATCTACACTGCATAAACAAATAGTTTATCTAAACTAGAGGGTTAGTGTTAGTCCAGCTAAACTCATAAAGTTAAATTCATAAAAACGTCAAGTGAGTCTTACAGTCTATGCTGCAAAATTGAGAGTTATCAATAGTTATACCTGACAGGCCAGCAAACATGAGAGCAGTGTATCCGTATTCATGCTGGTTGCAGTTGACATCGGCCCCATGCTGAAGCAGCAGACGACACATATCTGCCTTGCCCTTATAGGCTGCATGCATCAGTGGAGTCATGCCATACTTCAGAAACAACGGAGAGAGACACTGTTACAGGAGGTAACTAGAGTAAGCCAGGTATTTAATCAAAGAAGCATTAACTGATTTGTTTGACCACTTGCAGGTTGGGCAGTGAGATGAAAACACGACAATAACATGTTATTATCACCTTATAAAGTTGATATGGCTAACGTGGTATTTACATATCCAGCAAACACAGAGCAACATCATTAATTTGGAGTGGTGTTTATCTCCCCTTGGTGAATAGTCACTTTAAGTTACATTTCAGTTTTGTCGTTACTCTCAACTAACTCCAGACAAAAAAAACAAGCTACTAGCGAATTTGTTCTGACTGGAACAATTTGCCTTTGATTTTTTCTGAATTATGGAAAAAAAAAATGCTACTATTTATCCAAAATGCCTAAAAACAATTTAACATGCATCACTTTTGTTTTAGAAAAGCTGCAGCAAAATCTGGCATTATGGGCCTTAACAATCCCAAAAAGCCAGCGCAATCCTGAAAAGGGACTTAATAAGTTTCTGTGGATATTTCACCATGAGCAACACCTATACCATCACACATGATCCATTGTTAGTATAAAAAATAATTTCAATGAATCATCAATGAAGCTTTAAAATCTTACTTATACCTCAAGAAATGTGCACACGTGTCATGAGCATGTTATTGTAAAATATATCACAAGCAAAAGTTCTCATTATGCCCAGTGGCTCCTGTCCAAGTTATATTATTTGATTATCATCACTGATTCATTAACATGCAACGAGAATTGTCTAGTTAGCTAGGTAGCTGGTCATAGAAGTTCATTTTAGCTACTTTATATACTGTTGGTAGTTTAACCTGTAACAATGTATCATATTTTATGAACTGATCTTGTGATTTGTGTTAAATCTTATTTTAAAAAGAACCTTTAACTGTCAAATAGTATTTTTCTTTGAAGTATACTGGAGTAGAGGTATAAATTAGCTTTAAATTATCAGATTAAGTGAAATACATACTGGGGAAGTTGCTTTGCAAGCTACCAATTACTTCAAACTAGAAGAAGTTGAACTACAGCAAAGCTAGAGGGAAATCTACTTTGGTTAACTAAAGCTACTTAGGCTACATTCACACTGCAAGCCTTAGGGCTCAAAAACAAATGCATTATTGTTATATGATGCCGTATGAGGAAAGTCGATCTAGAGTGACATAAAAGTCACATGAATTCTGATGCAGCTGTTCACACTGAGTTTGCAGTGCCAAAAAAACTGACTTGATCTAATTTAGTTTTTCTCTGTGCAAAATCTGGTTCAAATTTGACTTGAAATCCTTTATTTGACTGTATTTGAAGAATATTGGGCAACAGCAGTGACTCTAATGACATAATCCTGCACACACAAGCACATTTTAGATTTAATTTTAAATGTATGAATTCCCTGTGTATACCTTACATCACACACAGACAAGACTCCTCTAACATGTCTTGTAATATGTCCGTGTTGTGGGTAAAGGTTACTGCGTGGGCAGAAGCTCTGTCACCACACCTGATTCTGACAGATGGCCGTGTGAAGGAGTCTGTGAGCTACATGTAGTGGCGCGATGCTATTATCAAACACCCTTTGAGGGCTGCGTCTGCCTCTCAATAGTCATTTCCATATGTCTCCACCACAAAGGATAACATATGTTACAGTGACATAACATTGCATGCATTATGGGTGGAGGAAGTGGCGAGTTGGGGGAGCAAAGCCAACATTTTGTAAAACACTTTTGCAACATGAACCTCCTGTGATCTGCTTCTGAGCTTCAAAAAATTATTTTCATAATTTCCATACAGGAAATTTTGCTCTTGAACACCACATACAAATGTAAATTTATAGATTTACAGTACACTTGCTGGGAGTGATTCTGGGATGTGAAATAGGGTCACAGTTAAGAAAATCTTTGGAAATCAGTATGGTTAGAAATAAGCTCTACTGACTCTACCAAAAATGGTAGGGACTGTTCCTTTAAATGTCAGTCTGTTTGAGTATATACAAATCTTTTACCTAAATACATCAATAAGTTTAGCCTCAAAGTTCATTCTTGACCTTGGAAACAGTATAATAGAAATATTAACATAGGGTACAATTACTTGCTTTTTTAATTTGAAAGGTTTGCAAACATAAATTACTGTTCATAAAATACTACAACTGCTAACATTAAAGCCATTTTTTCTTCTATTTCCATACCTCATCCAAACAGTTGACTCGTACTTCGTTGCTAGCAAGCAGCTGGGCAGCCTCCTGTACATCACCTGCAGACCAAAAGCATCACTGAATATGTAACTGATGGTTTGAGGGTTAAATACAGTAAGAAATAATAGAGGATTGAAACCACAATGTAATGATTTTTTAATTCAAGCCCTAGCCTGAGTTGTGAAATGAAAGATGCTCTGTAATCTCGTATTAATTATAGAAAAACAAAGTATTTCTGTGCACAAAAATCACAATTTAAATGTAAGGAACTCTTCATATAAGTTGAATTGCATGATGCATTTAGACAAATTTCACATTTGATGTGCTGTGAAATGTATTATAGATTCTATAGGTCAGTGGTTCTCAACCTTTTTGGTGTCTGTAAATTGATTTATTTATTTAATTTAGTGGAATCAGCTAAACCTTTGTCATTAACTTAACATAAATGTGTGTTTTATTTTTTCAAGCTGAACTTAATATTTCTAGTTTTTTACTTCCAGACCACTTCAGAACTTACAAAAATGAATTCTTCTAACTTGAAGTCTTTTAACTTAAAATGATGAGTTGAATGACTGTACTGTACTGAGTTGATTGTACTGAGTTCAATAAATTCATTAAATTAAGTTTCTAAATAAACACAATCTGCATATTAGCAGACGTCTCAACATGAATTGTTTGAGAGTTAAAACTCTCCTGAGGTTCTTCTTTTTTATAGAAGAAAGCATATATGATGGAAACTTGACGTTTGTATCTAAGACATTTAAAAATAAGTCATGGTTGTTTATTTTCACAGTAATAAAAACATTGTGACCAATTGTCGAGGCGGACGACCACCCAACTAGAGCCGAAGGGTCTTTCCTAGGTTTCTGCCTCTTAACAGGCAGTTTGGCGCTATACAAACAAATTTGAAATAAAATTGAATTGAATTCAGTACCTGCCCCCTTACACTTCATCGTGTAAGGGGAGCAGTTTCATACATTGTCAACGCTGGACCAAAGCTCCAAGTTCTGTGTCAAGTGAAGAACTGATTCATCAAAAATGTGAAAGCAAATCAAATTTGTTGTAA